CATAAGGAGGATATCCATAAAAATGTTTGGTAAGGAGTGAGAAAAATGCTTTTAGAGGAAAGAGAAAGCAGAAAAAAGAACATATCAGAGAATTAAAAAATTTCATAGAACACCACTGTATGTAGTCTTAGTAATTCTGCTGTCTTACAGTACTGTATAAATTTACATTCACACATATGGATGTGTAGGTGGGTGTGCTCCTGTTTGGCAATTTGAGTTATTTCACCATCCAACTGAGGACCAGTTGTTGTAAAGTGGTCCCCATAAGCTTTTTTTTTTTTGCCAAAAGTTAGGTTTAGGGCTTAAGTGTGAATTAGGTTTAGTTTAGGGTTAGGGCGAGGTATGCACTGGTAACGGTTAGACTTAGCGTTATTGTCAGGCTTAGGGCATAGAAAGGGTTAAAAATGACTGAAAATTAGGGAAGTCAAAGGGAGTCAACACATGGTTCTTAAACATATTTGTTTTGATTAATTAGTTATATAGATTTGAGAGCTTTTAAAAATATTTTTAAACATGGAAGCTTCTCTCTATAATGGTGTGATAAACCCTACTGAGGATGAAACAACCAGGCTCTAAGAATTGATAAGGAAGATGACCCCAAAGGATGAAACACTCTGTGAATGTCAGACAGTGGAAAGTGGAAGAAAAGGAACCGCAGGAACCCCTGCATGGAATGTACCACCGACAGCTAAAGTTGCTGATATGACCAAATCGTACCAATTGCTAGAAAGGGCCTAGACTAAAGCACAGCACAGAAGCACTGATCATGGTAACACAGGAGCAGGCCTTGAGCAACAGAGCGGTAGAGGCCCAGATCTACCATAGCAGGCAAGATCCCAGGAGTAGACTATGCAAAGAGGTCCCAAAAATAATCCACAATTTCACAGCAGGGTGGCAGGTACTGGTAGGAAAGGGGTACAGAGAACATCAAAACCAAGTGGCTTGTAAAGTGGACAGAAACATCTGTGCAGAATAAAAAAAAGTAGCACCGGGTCAAAATGGGAGCCACCTACCAAGGTGGTGGAGAATAACAGATCTAAGATCATATGGGACTTCTAGATACAAACAGACAAAAGGGTTGTGGCCAACCAAGCGGACATTGTGATCACTGATAAGGGGCAGAAGTCCCTTGACCATAAACACTTTCCCTAACTGGTACATTTGAGGCCTGCAGAAAAGGCTCCTATGGAAAGTTTTACAAAAGTGAGGTGCATGCAGTACAATTCTTCAAATTAATTGAATAATTCACCAAGTTGATCCTGCCTCTCGTGTCAAGCTTTTAGCTATTCACAGCATAAGTAGCAGCTGTGATGTATCACATTCTTGATCTGTTCCACAACTTGCCGTTAACCAATAAATGAAAGGCTTTCCAAATCCAGTTGGGAGGAACGCGCAAATATCATCCCCATCCACAAAGGTAGAAATCATGTCATTTTGCTCATCTTTCAAAAACAAAATTAGACGACATTCCTGCTAAAACCGAAGCAGCCATGTTTGTCTTACTTCAGCCTGCCTCTGATTGTCATCATATACTGAATTCCATTGGCTTGTATTATATTTGTATTTGAGGCTAATGCATCTATTAGCTTCTGGCAAGATGTATTTTCAGGAGTTTGTTAATTCACAAATTTCTATAGCAATTCATCTTGCTTGCAAGGTAAATCATTTCTGAATTATCAATTTAGAAAGGAGCTTTTTTACACTAAGCCGTGTAAATTTAATAAGCATTTTCCATTCCTACATTTTCCTGTTTACTTGAATTGTCTTTGCTTTTATATTTTTAGAGATATTAAACACAATTTTAAAGCTTACAAAATCTGGGCAAAAACCTTTTTATAGCACTTTCTAACAGCTGAGGAAAGTGCTTAAAATTTTTCATCTGTGTTCTCCAGTTTGCAATTAATGTAGGACCAGAAGGCTAGACCACTCCTTTCCGGCACAAAACAAAACCAGGATTCATGAGAGTGTCTATAATGTAGGTGACTAGCTGAATATGGGTACGCTGGGAGCAATGTGAGGAGATAGAGAGGAGGAAGAATGACTGTAGGAATCAGGAAGAAAGAGTGTGGTGCCAGTTTGGTAAAGAATGGCATAAATGAGGGCAGAGATCCAGATAAAAATGTGACAGCATAGTTAGACTGTGTGGGGTTGAGGTGGAGAGCGGATGGAGGTGTTTGTGCAAAATACAGGCTAAGCCAAGGAAGACAAATTGGAATGGATCTGCTCTTTTACTGCCATTTTTTCAGTCTCCTTGGAAGCTATTGTGTTGGTTTCATTCATTAGACCACATGCAATAAAAAACATTCAACGAGAGAAATATCACCAGTCAGAAGCTTCTGTTTTTTTCTCCCAGGTGATTTCTCACCAGCATTGACCTTCTCAAGCAAACAGTCCACATGTTAATCACAGAGAAAAGCATCGCAAATAAATTTCCCCCTTTGTCAGTCTGGTTGTTGTGGTGTCATTAAACATTCACTGCATCACAGATTTGTTTACCAGGCAAAGAAATGTGCTGCAAATCACTGTAAGCCTATTTGAGTGGAAAGAAACAATAGATGTGAAGAGGCTTTTCAGTGTTTCCACTTGTGCTAAGAAAAATAGATTGTAATATCTACTCTTGATAAAGATGTTGCTCATTAAAATCTTCACGGCTTCTGGGTTTAACAGAACTTAACTAAACGGTAGAAATAATAAAATAAGCTTTCTTCGAACAAGTTACACATGATCTATTTTCCCTCTGAATATAAACTGAAATCTCACACATAAATTTGGAAAATCAAAAATGCATGAAAAACACACAAAGACAAGATAAAGATTAAAAGAAAAGTGTGAATGCGACTGACCTATCAGTTCTAATGAGTTTTCAACTCATGTCAGCACTTAGACCCAATTTACCAGGATAGCAATTTAGACATCAGTTGTCAACAGGTTTTTTTCCTTCAAGACATTAAGAGTTTCTTACTACAACTTTTTCCTTTAACCAAAAACCCTACCGTCCTCTTAAAACTTCTCTGAAAGGCACACACAGTAAATTAAGTTGTCACATTTGGATAAAGCTTATAATGATATCATTACACCATACACAAAATCTAGGGGACTAAAGTTTGAATTGAGTTTAGTTTGAGGGTGAAAGGTAGCCCATAGAAATGAATGGAAGTCAGCACAATATATGTGTGAGTGTGTGTAAGTGTGTGTACCTATATTTCTTACCTTGTGGGGACTGTGTAATGGCAATTTCCCAGGAAGATGCAACTTTGTTGGGACTTACAGGTTCATCAGGAAAAGGTCTATTTCTCTTCTGCGGGTTAGGTTTAGGAATAAGTTAACTAACGGTGTGTGTGCGCTTGTTTTTAATGAATTGTCTGACCCATTTTTACAGAAAATGACACCTTGTGGGGACCGAATTTTCTTTGTGAGGCCCGATGCCTGGACCCCAAACTGGGAATTGCTGTTTTGCGGTCAGGTGTCACATTTAGGACTAAGAAGTGGATTGTGTTAAGGTTGGGGTTAGGGTTACGTATGAACCCGTAATGGTTATGGTTAGAGTAAGGGTCATGGTTAGGCTGTAGAAATGAAAGAAGACAATGAGAAAAAGCCCTGCTAAGATACTGAGACAAGTTTGTTTGTGTGTGTGTCTGCACACACTCCAAGCTCCAACTTATAGTATTTCTTGGAAGTTTTTTTTTGTATTCTAATTAACAAATATTCACACTATGCTTCCATTATCGACAGAGTAACACCCTAAAAATATACAGTGAAGACTTTAACTTAGTGTCTTGAAAACTGAGTAACTGCATTGAACAGCAATGCTCCCAGTCCCAGCAGAGACTTGTAGAGTTGCCTCTCTCCTGACACCTCCTCCAGCTCAAGCCAGCTGGGAAGCCAGCTGGGCCAAATCCGCCAGCTCCCAAACCAGACCTCCTCTGATCCTTTGCTGCGCCTAGAAATCCTGTCCACACTATTCAGCCATATTTTTGATCGTTAAACTATAAATTACTGAATAAAAAGCAGAATGATGGGCATGGGTAAGTTTGTGCGAGTAAACACCAACCATTATGTTGTTACTGGGAACAAGACAGACTTCATTTTAGATTGAATTTACATGATGTGAGCTATGATATTGCTCCAAATGAAAATGTAACCAGGGGTGAACTTACCTCTGACAAACACTGTATATCTGTAATGGCAGATATAGTAAAGCTGACGCTTCTAGCATATTAAAAAGCAAAAAAAAAAAAAAAAAACAGGCAGAAAATAAAAATAAAAAACATTAGGTCAGCAAAGTTATTTCAAAGCAACCATGGACAAAATGTCTGAGAGACCAACTCTTTCACAGCCAGACAAATCATGAGGGACAATAAGTCACATTGGCTGTAAGGTAAAGAAAACAGTGCCTGATGTATTTTGCAGTTACAAAAGCATGTGAGTAATTACTGAGTATAGTACATAATTAAGCTGGTGAAAATATAAACCATGTATTTATCACATATATATCCGAAATGGCTCCTCTGGGTATCTCTTGTCAGCAGCATGCGTCATGAAAAAGTAATTCTGCCCTAAAAGAAAAAAGCTACACTGTGTTTCCTAAGGTTTATAGTAAAAATACTCCTTATATACACTGTGGAATATTTTTCTGAATGCGTAAAGTCATTCTGTTGCATGGTGAGAAAAAAAATGTTCTCTCTTTGAAAAAAGAAAAAACAAAACAGCAGAATTTGTTTTACACTTCTGCATGTGATAAATGGAATTCACACTCCATGACAAACAGTAGGTACAGAGAACTTCTGCATCATCTGTTTTTGTCCTGTGGTGTGAAGTTGCCCGTACTCAAAGCTGTGGCATCCTTGTCAAGGTCCTGAGTGTGTTGTTGTGAGGAAAGTGTAAGAATGTGCTCCTTTCTGTATAAGTAGAACTGGTTAAAATAAGAATAAAAAAAGGGTTTGCCGTTTGGATGAACTGTGAATGTCTGAATTTTTGCCATTAGTTATTATATTTCCTACCAGCATAAGGAACTGGGGCATCCTTGTCTAGAGCTACTAGAGGAGGGTCCAGCAGCACTGTCTCCATGTTCTCTGTAATCACTCCATGGTAGGAAGTCTCTATCCAAGGCTTGTGCTTGTTGACTGTAAAAGGAGAAGAAAGAATGAGATAAACATCGTTATTTATTTGTTATCTTTTAAATAGAAACAAAAAAAGTGTGAGGAAAACAACATTTTTGTAGAAGTTATCAATATAAAACTTCAAAAGAAAGCTTTTACACGCTGATTATTGTCCACAACACTTAGTTTGGCGTTTTTGAGACATTTGCTTTGGTAAAACTCAATATGACACTGAACAAATGCATTTCTGCTTTCATATCGGTATTATGACCTCTGCATCTCTTCCTCCACCATCAACACTTTTCTCACAGTAAATTCTTGTTTTTTTGTTTTGCATTTTCTTTGTGCTGTGTGCATTTTCTAAGAAATGGGGAACTTAAATTAAACAATTCAAGAGTGGATAAACTGTAGATTAAAACAGATCATCACCACAATTGCCCATGCAGCTCAGTAGGTCATCTGATCCCAGGCTTTTCCTCAGTCCACATGTTCCTGAGCTATATTTTAAACTCTCCTGTCTCTCTAGTACATTCTTTACTTGTAAAGTCCGGTTTGGTAAAAACGTACCCTAACTGAATCCAGTGTAATATATACCAATCTAAATTAAACTTCCTCACAGCAGGAAACAAACAGGAGCGTATGCTGAAGCCACACGAACATATGTGGATAATGTGTACTTTGGTGAATCCACACATACAGTCTGTATCTATGGTGTCCAAGAGTCGCTCTCTGCAGGGAGCAAGCATGACACCCTGGCCTTCTAATCCATTGAAGAGAATCTCTTTGTCTAATGCCAGTGAGCAGATGAGGCGTCCAGCTGGCATTAATTTGAAATGCACCAAACAGCTCCATCTCTTAAGTTTTTTATCTGTTTGAATAACACTTCAGGGAGGTTTGTCCTACTATCCCATTTTATCCCTCAGTGGCTATCAAGACATAGCAAAGAACAGGGCTGCTTTCAAAAGATGTAGCTTACACAATATTTACAAATTATTTAGTAATTTTTGAATGTCTAGTGTTAATATAACATACAGAACCTCATAAACAAACCTTGGCTGTCTAAATTAATGCCCAACCGCCTGGGCACTATATAGGGGTTACATCATTTTATATGAATGTGCAATGTCTAACAGATGAAAAAGTAGTGGACCCAAAATTTCCCAAAATCCATCTGGAAAAGTTGTGCAGATTGCTGGTGACTAGATGAGCAGATATATCCCAGAATGATTTTCAAGAGATCTCCTTGCAAAACATCATGGGATTTATTTAAGGGGCACAGAGAACAAAGATGGCACAGTCACCATGTGAGGAGCCGCAATCACGTGAACAACGGGGAGTGAAAGGTAGTGGTCATCTCTCTCAACGGCTAGTTATCTGATTGCACTGATCCTCACTCTATTGTGTTTGAGGGTTTAGGGGTTAGGGCGCACATTCATACTTAGACCTTGCCTTTAATAACTCATTAGCCTCATTCTTTCCACCTGCTCGTGCCAATCTGTACTCATTGGTTGTGTCCAAACGTCTGCCCTAACCCCTAAATCCCTCAATCACTCTATAGATCAGGGACTATATAGTGGACTTAATAGTGAACTCAGTTAACTAAAAGTTCAGACAGAGGATCACAGCTATTTGCACCCAATTAGTCAGGTAACTTCGCCTCTCTGCACTATGCCTGTGCCATCTTTGTTATTTTTCTCCACTACAACAAATCCCATGATGCTTTGCAATGAGAGCTCGTGCAAAGCAATCTGCTCGTCCAGTGACCATCGATGACCACTACTTTTTAAGGTGTATTGTAGGAAATTTCGAATCTACTACTTTTTCATTCACAGGATGTTTGGACACTCATTTAAAATTGCGTAATCAATATATAATGGCCTATATAGTGATTAGGGCGGACGTTCGGACACAGCCATTGTCTTTACCTGAACCGTGCCTTTTGAACACCGGCCTATTTTGCTCACTCCTCACAGATGAATCCTGTTTTCTGATGCCTTTATCTCTCTCATCTTGTGCCAAAAGTTGCATCGTTTACAGAATTAAACTCCTTAACCAATTACACTGCCTATAAATACCTGTTTACACTTTGGATCCCTTCCAGTGAAATCCTATTGAAACCACATCACAATTATGCACTGCTTTTAGTTTATCACAATCCTGGTTAAATAAATTAAAAGTTGTTATTTTTAATATGACAGAATGTGTAGAATCTTAACAGATTTGACAATTTAAATTACCTGTTAATTACCCCAAAGTTCTGTTTTTTAAATACTTTTGAAAAAATAAAAACATAGCCAATTAAAAAAAAGAGTTAATCACAAGATACATTAACAAAGCAGGCAAATGTGACCAGAATCCAATATTTTTTGCCTTATCGGAGCCACATTCAACGTTGTAATGTGTAGGATAATGGGCCCTGATGACCAAGGTTAAGAAACCTTGATCTAGGTACAGCAGCATCATAAATGGTGTGCACTTTACTGGAGAAGCCTGTATATGTTAAAAAAGAAAAACTCCTTATGCTGCACAATTAGATGTTTTTTTTTTTATGTCGAATTAGTGGAACTTTTGAGCATCACTGGTTTCAGATTCAACAAATTATCTCGAATACCTATTTGCCAGAGATCCCTCATAACACGACGAGGATGATTTATTTGTGCTGCACTTTATTTCTATGCTTAAGGCAAAATGTCGGGGATCTGGCATCTCAGTAAAACACAGATAATGGCATTATATGTGAGGTCAACCTCTCTGTTGGAATGTGTCCTTAACTTTCGTGCAGGAAACTGTGGTTTGAATCAAGACTGAGATTGAAGTGATGACAAAATCTTTTTTACTCCATAATTATTGAAAAACTCAGATTTTCTCTATGAGATTTTACAGCAGAGCTTTGCAGACAGGAAAGCTCCACAAACATTTTTTATTTATTTCTCTTACTTCCTGCCACCGCAGGTTTTTTCCTTTTTTTCCTATCTTTTATCTTTATTGTCATTGTCACAAGAACAACAAAATAAAAAAAAAATAAGTGCCATCAATCAGTGCATATGATTAAGAACAACAACAACAACAAAATGATGATGTCCACAAAACCACAAGGTAAATTAAAGAAAATAACTGCAGATATCAGTGATGGTAGTAACTGAGTTGGTATCACAATTGAAATTTGAAGCTATATATTTTCATATATGTTAGGGTTTTTTCCAGGCATAATTAGAAACAAAGATAGCAAAGACAAGCACTGCTGAAAAAATAATATTTTTCAATATTTTTTTCTCTTTTTGTTACGTTCAATTAAAATGGTTTCTATGTGTTCTTGTAATTACATGTTGTACAGCTGTTTTCAGGGAGATTTAGATAGAGAAGAGAATCTGTTTCAACTTTATGTCCTTTTTCAAATAAAGCCATGAACTAAGGTTGCACTCCTTATTTTAAGACATAGTGGAGGATGTTGTTTTTGCGTGTGGATCATTAATATTTAGCCATGCTAAATATTATATATATTTGCAATAGGAACAGTATTGTTTGCCAAGATAACTGCTTTCTACTGAGATACTCAGATTTCTCTACAGCACTAGTACTCACTGCTCCCCCAAAGGCCATCGTTAATAGTTATGCACTGTTTTTTTCTCACCTTCCTTTACATTGTTTTGAGGAGGTCATAATATAACCAGTTCTTGTTGTTCAAAAGTTTAAATACTAACCCGGGAATCTTTCTGGACCATAGTAACAGTTGAATAACTTATTTCTTCCATTAACAGTGCTCTGTAACATTATTGTCCCTGTATGCATCTGGTGACTTTGGGGCTCTGAGCCATTTAGACTGAAGTTTGATGCCAGATTGAATGAGAATGTAAAAACAAAACAAAAAATCACATTTCAACAAAATTTGGAGTTTAGCATCACAAACTGCAGTGCAAACAAAGCATCTATGTTTAGGTTTCCTGTTGGAATTTAGCAATAATCTAAAGGAGTTTTTTGTCCATTTTTTAAGGCTTGTTATTTACTTCGGTAAAAGTGTTAAATAGTCATAGTACATAAAATCATATAAATTACAATATTGCATTTGGAGTTCTTAGATGCAGTGTTCGGTTATAATATGTCAGTTTTGAGCATTGAACTATGCTGGGCAGCATTATATTTGGCCAGCTAGCTGGATTTTATGCACAAACCATGACATCACTTTCAGTTGCTAAAATGCTAAAGATCAAGATGACTAGTGGACCTTTTGTGATGGTGAAAAACAAAAACAAATTATGAAAAGTGAAGGTTGATTTTAGTAATATTGATTTAACAATAAAAATAATTCTATTTCTCATTCACAGTTGATACCTATTCAGATAAACGCTTTCTGAATTGTTTTTTTTCACAGAGAGACTGCAGAACAGATAATATAGAGTAAAAAAAAAATTATACAAGCCATTTTGCACATAGAGTAGATGGGAAGCATTGCAACACTCAGCATGAGTTTTCTCTGCTGGAGAGTGGAAAGAGGAGAGTGGTCTGTCTTAAAGTGCAATGAAGACATCTCTAGGCTACACCTGTAATATTGTTCTTGTAATAGAGGATTCAGTGGTGCATTCAGAAGTGCATCACTTCTATTCTGTATTGCTGGTAGGGCATCTGCCTCATCCTTTCAGCCTTCCTCAATTTACATTTCAGCGTTAGGAACATTTCCATAAAAACGTAGAGGTGAAATGAAGTGAAACAATCTTGTAAAAGCTACTCTTTTAAACCAAGAAAATATTAAAATAAGGTAGCTGCCGCACAACACTATAAAAACTGCATCTACCAAAGAAATTCTTTATTTGTGCTTCTGCAAGCTACTCATAATGCATACTATAGTATTTTCCAATGTACTTAAAGATGTCTTTAGGTAGTTCTGTGTGTCACATACAAAGTTAGCTTTACACACATTTTCTGTTTCAGTTTTAATATCCAACATTTATCACAAAGAAATTGGTTGGTGGATGACACAGCAGAGTTGTAGTTGATCACAAGGTGTCTAATAAAAAGTCTGTTTGCAG